ATTAATCTATCACCAGTAACAATATCATGATATACAACATCGAGAAAGCGATATCCTTGATCAATCGAGTTATTTCGACTACTGTTCAGATCTCACTAACGTGCTAATTCAAAAGCGGTTCACTGCTAGAAGTTCTCAATACAACTGCTGCAGATTGGGAACGAAAATGAGAAGAGGTGGATCACAGAATCCCCAATCTGCTTAAATTACTGCAAAACTGTTATAGGAGGACCAGATATAACAGCTCGGCCTAGTAACATAGTATACTGATCGGTGACTATAAAAATATAAATCGAGGTGTAATAAATAATTAATATAGTCACCAATCGAATCCGTTAATAACGAATGTATTGATTTTTCGGTATGATTGCATTCGTAGACTTATAATAAATATGAATTATGATTCTCATAACTGTTTCATAGATTCGATATTTTTTAACACTATGTAGAACTGTAGAATATATATATACCTCACTGATTCTCATTAAACAATACTATTAATACAATAAGGTAAGAAACAATATTGCAATTTTGATTTCTTATTTGCTTATATTTATATCATTAATTGCTACGAAGCAAGATGAAAATTATTTTCCCAAAAATATTTTCATCTTTACAAATGATATCTCAAAATATTTTTCAAACGATATTTAAAAAAATTAATTTTTTTCTTTTTCATCAGGGAAATATAGCAAATAATTCTATACACAATACTATTTTTTTACATATTTGAATGTACATATTTAATTTAATAATTAAAATTTTCTCTCTATTTGATGTAGAAGAAAAGAGAAAGATTTTAAATACATATTAAACAATTCTCAATAACAACTTTTTTTTTATTTTTAACGAAAAACTGACATTTTTTCTAGATAAAAATAATTTCTCCTCTATTTTGTATATTTTAATGGTTTAAATAAAATAAATATTTATTTCCAATCATAAACGAGAAAAAAATATCTATTTTTTATTCATATTCACTATCAATTCATATCGTGATTACTAGTTAGTCATAGAGAGAGATGAATTAATACCGATTCAAAATTGTGCACGAAAAGATGATATACTCAAAAAAAAAATATTAAGACGAACTAATCATGTCTAATCATACTGCAGAATTTAAAAAAATTAGTCAACAACTTAATAAAAAAGCTTATGAAAGCACGACATACATATATGTATACATAAAACATTTCAAGAATTTAAAAAAAAGCTTAAGGTTCACGATAAAAATAAAAGCAGTCGATATTCAATCTATTTTCATAACTAAATTATTTTCTGTTCGATGTAGTACTTTTTTTTATTTGATATTCACACACGACTTTTTATTTGATATTCACACACGATTTTTTTATTTGATATTCACATACGATGTAAGCAATATTAATACAAAATAAAATTATAATACTGCTTCTTTGTTAACTAAATAGTAACTAATAATGGCAACATTTTGAACTATATTATTTGTCAAAATAACATTTAATCCAATCTCGATAAATTCTCTCTATTATGCTGATCTTCAATTAACAACAAAAATAAGATTTAACCGATCGAATTTATTATATTAAAGCTGTGTTAAAAATAAAAATGTGCCTTTTAGCGAATGCTATAGAAATGGAATCTGATTACGCAAACACGTTTCATGCCAATCCATTTATAGATATACCTTCGTTCAGTCGATGACATATTCTTTAGCGTAGGACTAGCAAAATTAGTGATATGCATATAAACTATTATAGCGTCTCAGTTCGATCATATGCATATGTATATCAAAACCGATCTCTCCAATACTAGCTGCATGTATATTATTATATTTAAATTATTATTATAATAAATTTTTAATTGACCAAAAAATCGTAAAATCTGAAAATTTTGCACTGGATAATACTATAAATTCCTTCAGATTCTCAAATAAGCAATCGAATAAGGAAGTTAATTTTTAAAAAGAACTTAATAAAATATTTTTTAAGGAACATTACGTGAATACTTCATCTCATGAGCGGAAAAATATTGCGCGTGTAAAACTTTAAAGCTGCATCATAAAATACAATTTTGTCGCAACCCGAACACAACGAAATTAAATAATTGAACAACTAAATACTAAATAATATAGCAAAGAGCCTTAAAAATCCGAAATTATTTAAAAATTCTGTTTAATTTAGAATAATTATACTTCTAGAACTAACTTCTATGGATTCTATCGATTGTTTATTTATGGAATTGACCGATCTAAATCGCTAGCCTTAGCCTGTTTCTAATGTACTATTTCCATCAGCCAAGATATAGAGAACATGTCAAAATCAGTGCAAAACAGAGAAATGAGAAAAACAAATATCATTCAACCTACATTCAATACGATAATGTGCAGTGTCGACATACAAAGTAGATTTACGCTCAGATATAATTTTTTCCATTTATTTCAACATGGATATAAAAATGGTGCATTTTGCAAAAATTTACTCTAATAATAAGATAAAAATAGAAATAAGACTAAAATATAAAATCAAAATCAGATTTATAACAGTTTATAACAGAAAACACAATTAAAAATATTAAAACGTACACTGACTTTCAAATTCTATGTAATTAATGAATGGACCTTCTTGTCTACGTACAACTTACGCAACATAAATCAGGAATTAATATAGACACAGCTCAAAATTAGAACATCTTAAATATTTCGAGCCCGAGTATTTCGGGTTTATGTAGCGTCTCACTGAAACACTTCAAACTTCGCAATAACTTATATAACTATGGTATCGATATCGATATAATTTCGATCATTTATATCGATACATGTTATTTGCTTTTTCCATAAAAGATTAATTCTTTGTATCTTCGACTTGCGTGGATCATGATAAAAATTAAAATTTGTTTCAAAATCGAGAGGTCAGATGATAAGCGCTCTGCAGGGGGATTTACTTACGTAAATTCAATATGACGCAAATAGCGGAAAACAACTGTTATTCATTAACAAGAATATATATACAAGATGTAAAACTACATTACAAAAGTAAAATCTTTTATGTAAAATTAAATAACTTTCATAAAAAAGTGTAATATATATCAATTACAAGTTAACTCTTCTGTAAGTTTATAAAATGTCAGTCGAAACCGTAGAAAAAATTCGTGAATTGATTAAAAAGGACTGTTACATGTCCGTGAGACTCATCGAGAATATTACAGGAATTAGCAAGTCACAATTTAACACAGAATTTGATATTGACGCCATGGTGATTTCTCGACAAGTGTCAAAGAGATAACTTTACTTCTGCCCCTGTGGTAAGTTAATGGGATCTCGATCAAACTTATCAGATTTTTTAACGAAGCTTGTATGAAAACAGGGTGACTTTGATTAAACAGACGGCGCTATTAATACCGTCTGTACGAAGAAACTTTTGGAAACTTTTGCGACAGACCGTGTATTTTAAACAAATAATTCTGGCTATTAAACTAAAGAATATTAATTAATTATATTATAATTATAAGAGTTAATTAATTAATTATAATATTATAATTAGAAGAGTTTTATTTTGTCCTACCTATCCTTATAATTTCTGTTCGATTTTAAGAGATTTGTAGTTCTACATAAATTCTAAAAAAAATTTGTCTTTTCAAAGGTAAAAATATTAATTAAAATCAAACAGCGATTAGCAAACAAGCACTCAATTCTGAGATACATATATTATATTTTATTGACACTGGTAAACTAGGCTAACTTATAACAAAGATTAAATTTATATATACCTCTTTTCCTCGATAGCTTTGAATCTTGCTTTATTTTTTAATTTAATTATATCGCCGCAAAATTAAAGCATATATTTCTATCATATCAGTTTTAATAAAGTATAAAAATAAAAATAAAAAATAAAAATAAAAAATAAATGTTAGATACGAATCTAAATGTATGGATTGCTAAAATTCTATGGATTGATAATAACTACAATCCATATAGTCAATATCAAAAGAATTAACGAGATCGAGAATGAGGGTTGCGGCAGTCCCAGTGACCTCGAAATCAAACTGGCATCGCATTCTGACAGACTTTAAGGATCGATATTCGCATCGCCAGTCGCTCCGATACGATGCAGTTGTCACTCGACCGTTCTCAGTTCTTTGCAATTCAATTGCCGAGAGGCATCACATCACGCAACGCAAACATTTGTCAAAAACGTGCAACCGAATGAACAATAGAAACGTTTCAATCGGTTGACATTCTTTTTCTTGCACGGGTACATTAGTACAAAAGAGATAAAGAGAAAAAGAAGAAGAAAGAGCGCGAGCATGTATACTAAAGAGAAAATATAGTCTTATATGCGTGTTGTAAATTGTAATTTAATTTTTTTTTTTTTTACATTTAAACTTTCTTATTCATTTTAAATTTCATACAATAAAAACCGCTATTTTGTTAGAGAATTTAAAGATCAACAATATTTTGGAACGTTATTCTTTTTCTTCTCTTTATTAAGAATGTTTATAAAAGCAGAACCGTAGAAAAAAAGACACACATCAAGCGAAAAACTAATCTGAAAGTTTTAATCGTCTAGTCGGAAGCAATTTTCTCGTGAATATCTATTATAAAATCATCAATATGATTTTTAAGATCTTCTCGTCTCACCTATACTTTCTTTCACTTTTTGCATTTAAAACGAACTAAGCATACTTAATTTTTTTTCCCTCGCTTTCGAAAAAGAAAAAAGAAAGAAACAAAAGGCCAAAAAAGAATAATAAGATTTTCAATTTTCAATTATTGTCATTCGATCCTAAATCTACAAATAAAATATAATAATTTCAAATCTCGATATTCCAACTTCTCGGATCTTGGAACACAAGGGCGCGATGCGGAGCAATGCAACGAAACCACCCCAAAACTCATTGACATGTCAGGAGATGCAGCACACACGCATATATACATGTATATAGATATACACACACACACACACACACGCATACATCATCCGTTCATGCGCGTAACAGAGAAGATCATTAACTAAACTTACCCACCTCTTGGCAGGATGCTCGAACGATAAGCGAGTCCTTCAACATTCCCAGGAGGAAGTTTACCTCGAGCCTTTCCTTGTCACAAGCGATGATCGGTGGCCCTCGAGAAAAACACGGCGAGCAGCACAGAGACCGGAAAGAAGATACTGGACCACTGGATTATTTCGTTCAGGATACACTATTCTCACATACATTCACAAGTTTAGTAGGCACTTCCAGGGGCGGCGACTACGAGCAATAAAATCGCGGAACGTTGATCCACGCTGATGTACGCGTCGCAACGACGATATAGATATACTTGTTCGATCTTTGAAAACACTACGCAGAACGGAAGCTGACATGATACTGCGCGACCAATTAATCATGCAGCGCCATCTTGGGACGCATACCGACAACAAGATGACAGATGGCATCATAGAACAATGGGCGGGTTTGTACAAAATAACTATATATATAGATTCTTTTTGTATTTTATAAAAATAAATCTTTAATAAATATACAAATATTAAAAAGACTGATGTGCAATTAAATGTTATCATAAAAAGTTCAATCAATAATTCAATAAAATGAAATTAGTAAATATATAAATGCAGGGACAAGTTGGTGACATTGGTAAAACTCCTAGAGTTACCACAGAATTGTCACTAGTGTATACATATATGGCTGTGTTCCGATTCCCCACCCGGATGCACCCAAGAAGAATTAAGGGAAACTGAGCATGCGCACAAAGTACATAGAAAAAAGACAGTGATAATTATTATACTCTCTCTCTCTCTCTCTTGGCTCTTTTCTAAACAAAGGCTTAAGACCGTATCGGATTATGCATTAAAAATTGAAGATTAAAGTTGGCTAATCAGAGCAAAAGGAACTAAAATTACTTTGTCCTGATTGGTCAAATTTAAACTTTAGTTTTCGATCTCAATCTTTTGTATGACATTTGATGAAAATCTGACAGTATATCTGTCACCAGACGATTATATGAACATAAAAGAATTAATTAAGGCTGTTAATGATTAAAACTTTTTTGAAATCAAAAGTATAGGGTTTAAACTATAGAAAAATATAATAATTACAATAGAATAAACATTCGCGTTGCGGAAATCACAATTTTTTTGTCTGTCGTATAAAAACATATTCAAGTCTCGAAAGAAATAAATTTTTTCGCAATTCAGGCTTTTATTTCACCTTTAGGCCGGAAACACAGACTTTTATATAACGTATAACGCATAAAGGAATAAACCAATCAGAGTCCTTCATTTCTATCCCCTCGTCTCGTTCTGCGGATCTTGATTGGTTTATTTCATTATGCGTTATACAAAAGTACTCGCGGCTTTAGCATCCAAGTAGGATATATAGAAATCTGTGAGTTTGACTTAGTATTCGTAGCCATAGCGACCGCAAGGTATGGTCGCTCGATTAATAGTTTGTTGCGAATGACAGCTACAAAGATAATCAAGTATATACATGAACGTCCAGGAATCTCAGTATTTTGTTCTGTAAGTACAATTCCGATTCTTTTCATATAATTAATGATAACGAAACATCCATTTTTAAATGTATTAAATGTGTAATGTTATTTTGGAGTGATATTTGATTTTGTCGTCGCACTCTGTATTTCAGTCACTTGGGAATTAGTAGCTAACGTTTCGTGCGTTTGCATTAAATCGAGCTACATATATAATTCCTCAGATTTATTTTGCGAATCGCGTAATGCAAAATTTTACATGCGCTATTTGTAAAAAGAAGCGAATTTTAGAAAAAGTAATTGTAGAATTAAAAATTATGTTTTAAAAAATAGAACCTTTGTCATAATTATTTATGTTTTTTGTATTATATATATTTTTTTTTCAAAAAACAAGACTTTGAATCTTTAGAAAAATTATGGCACAGTATTGAAAGATTTAAATTATAGTTAAATTATATTTCATAAAAATATATATATTCTAAAATTAATTAATTTCATGAATTTTTTGGATCCGCTAATAAAATAAACTTTGTATGTTTGTATTTCCTTGTTTTTTTTTTTACTTCTAAGATATTCAGAATTAGGCATTGCAATATTGTAGTCATAGCAGTGCTATTATTATCAGTAATTTAAATTTTATCGAGATTTTACTATCACACCATGTCTAAACATAAAGACCATTTTTACACGTGATAACATATAACTCGAAAACTATTGTTATTACAATAATTCCATAATCCCCAAAAAGAACTTTTGATTTATCAGAGAATCTGTTATTAAAATTAATTGCGAGTTTCGAGATACTTTTTCTAGTATCAAAATTTAAATTCATCGAAATTGCTTTATTCCTTTCTCTTGCTTAGAGTAGAAAATTACGAAAATGCGTTAGCGATCAGGTCGAGTAACGTCATTCGAGAAAATCTATATTCTTGCATGTCTGGCTCACACAAAGATTGTTCGCATGCGACTGTAAGAAAATGCTAATCTCAGAACGACATATATACGAGTGGTGTCCTAGATTGCGTTTACAGTCTTTTGCTCCATGTGTCGTAGATTTGTGAGAGTCGTAGAATCGGGCTATCGTGTATGACACGTGCAAAAAAGTATCGAGTGCCTTAGAATCATCGTGCGATTTTCCAAGCAAGTTCAACGTGCACAAAAAAACTTCGTCTAAAATCATATACTCCCCGATCATATTTATTTATTCAATCTTAAAATATATGCAAATTCTACGATGTTGCGTGAAAATCGCCAAAAATTGTGGCTGAGATGTTTGATAACGGATTAAGACTTTCTGACTGTGAACAATGTAAAAGTTTTTCTACCATCTTGTCAACGGTTTCGAGTCTTATGGCAGAGTGTCGGTTATCAAATATTCATTCTACCGCTATAGAGTCAATACTCCGGATAACTCGCACCAAGTATTTATTTATGTGCCGATGAAATTAAGTTTGCTAACTCTTATTTTGTATTATAAGCCTTACTTATATGTGTAAGATACTCGCACCTTCGAATTAAGCTTTAAATATCCGCTTCATAGAGGTTTAATAACATAACATAAACATCGGAATTTTTATGGTTTTGCTGCTCATTCAAATCTATACACAAAATTTAAAATTTAAATTTATATAATGCTTTTCTTTTAATTATAATTTAAAATGAATTGTAGTAGAAAACCCCTACAAAGAGAATTTAAATTGTTACGAGAGAGAGAGAGTGTGTAAAAATAAAATCCTTTATCGTCTTTTAGATAGTTTTCAGATATTCCATAAGTAAAACGAATAAGGGAAGGGGGAATATTTGTTATTTTGCGAATATATTAACGTATTAATAAGTTGATTAAGGAAAAAGAATAATCTACAAATATATTTTATGTTATTTATTTTGCTTTCATGTTCGCAAAATTTACACTTACATTTTAAATATTTCATAGATTATACAATTATAATTTTTTATATGTTTATGTTTTAGAATAAAATTTGAAAAGTCAGTAAATGTATAAAACATCTTTAGCTTTTATGATTACAATAGATATGAAGAACATGCTGCCGTTTACGGCGGCGTGTAAATATGTTCGGGTTATAATGCTGAGATTCACTACCTAAAAACGAGTAATATAAAAATTTCCAAGCATAACGTAAGTGAAGATGAATCGATATATAACCTTGAATCAATTGGGTGACGGAACCTTTGGTTCCGTTGTTCTTGGAGAACGTATTGATACGGGCGAAAAGGTAGCTATAAAGAGAATGAAAAGGAAATATTATTCCTGGGAAGAGGCTATGAATCTACGGGAAGTAAAGGTACGATTAAATTTTAAATAGTTGGAAAATCTTATATTGAAAACAAAACCTCCTAAAATATTAAATCAGAAAAAGATATGTGCAGTACAATATATAATATTTAGTATTATATAATAATAAACAATAATATTGCGGAGATATAATCAAAACACTTGATATAATTGAACACATAATTATGAAAATAATTCTTTTATTTTTCTGTTTGCAATCTTATTTCTCAATCAAATCAACAATTATCAACAGATAATTTTTATTCTCTTTTCTCCCTTTTTATTATTGTAGTCATTGAAAAAACTCAGTCACGCAAACGTGGTAAAGCTTAAAGAAGTTATACGAGAGAACGACGTGTTGTATTTTGTATTCGAATACATGAAGGAAAATCTCTACCAATTAATGAAGGACAGGTATATATATGGCATATAACCGATTTTATTTTTAGTCTCGTATTTATACTCAGAATGATTTAATTGCAGGGACAAGCTCTTTCCTGAACCAGTAATAAGAAATATGGTGTACCAAGTATTGCAAGGTCTCGCTTTCATGCATAAACATGGCTTCTTTCATCGCGACATGAAGCCAGAAAATTTATTATGTATGGGGCCCGAATTAGTAAAGATCGCTGATTTCGGTTTAGCGAGAGAGATTCGGTCAAGGCCTCCGTATACAGATTATGTATCGACGAGATGGTAATAATTTTGCGATAGTATTATTCGTAAATATCAATTAATCCTTTGAGAACGGCTATATTTTGAAAAATCAAACTTAGAAAATTCATAAAAAATATTTATTTAATAAAAACGAATACAGTTTTGATTAAAAATGAGTTAAAATATCATATATCATGTAGGTATCGAGCACCGGAAGTATTGCTACACTCTACGACTTACAACAGCCCAATCGACATTTGGGCGGTTGGCTGTATAATGGCCGAGTTATACACGTTTAGGCCCCTGTTTCCCGGAAAGAGCGAGATCGACGAAATATTTAAAATATGCTCCGTAATTGGAACACCTGATAAAGAAGATTGGCCAGAGGGATATCAATTGGCCGCGGCTATGAATTTTAAATTTCCGAATTTTACGCGTACTTCATTGGCCGTATTAATACCGAACGCTAGTCAAGAGGCAGTTATACTCATGGAAGACATGTTACAATGGAATCCTATAAAGAGACCAACAGCACAGCAATCGCTTAGGTATGTAAGTCTTACATAAAATATTTAATAAATTATATAAGAAATTAAAAGAGAGGAAATAATTCTTAAAAACAAAAGTAAAAACGTAAAATAATCAAAATAAATGTTTACTTTAGTGAAACACCGTAAATAATGACTTTAAATAATCTCAAAAAGATTTTAGCTATCACATTCGTTATTTATTAAAATATTATTAACAAATAAAAGTGCATGCAAAACGTGATTCAAATATGTGTAGATAAGAAACAAAAAATTTAGTATTGAACATAGTTTATATAGGTATAAGTACTCATGTTACATACGCACACTTAGCAAATACACAAACCTTTATACATTTTTAATATATTAAATTTGTATTAAAAAAAAACATAAAACAATAGACACTAATATATTTTTACCTCATTTGTCATGCTTTTTTGAAATATTTTTGCATAGCTTTAAAAGGATTCTGAAACTGTCAGTAATGATTTTTATCATATCTTCAGATATCCATATTTTCAAGTCGGCGACCCGCGTATCATTAATAGTAAGAAAATTGGTGTTGTATCTCAACGAGAGCTTGCCATGAACAAAATAAATCTTCCACCACCTGCGCCTAAACAATATAATTATTCTCAAGAAAACCTTGTTAATAATATACTTCAATCGAAGTAAGATATATTTTATTATGGCATATATTCATATATATATGAGAATTCGTGTACATTCGATTATTGCGATAAGTAATGGTAGATCTAAAATAGATATCACAATTTAGAGGAATATTTTATACTTTGAATCTGAGAAGAGAAGATTTTGATAAACATAATTTCACGAGTTCTGTATGTTATTAAAAATATTAAAATTGAAATCCAATATTTATAGAGAACCCGAAAAAATAGTTGAATCGCAACAGCAACAGACGATTGCTTTGCCACTACTAAATTATAACAATCACAATAATCACAATAAGCATGACAACAACGCTTCCAAATGTGATGAGGATGATTTTGCCGGTTTTCTAGGGTAAGTTGCACGATTTTTCTCAACGAATTTATGTATCATCTTTCGACTATCCGATCTAATCTTTTGATTATCTATTAGGAGCAAAGTCAGCCCGGAAAATCCAATGCTCATCCCTGATCGCATATATAAGGAAAATCGTGTCAATTGGAATGCCAACTATCAGCAACCCGATAATTTGAAGCATAGTAATGCTAATTGGGCCCTACCAGCGTGGAATGAACCACCGTCGAGGATGTGGAATCAGTCAAACCAGTCCAGTCAAATGAAAAACTCGCGTAAAGTCTCGGCGAAGCAACATTACCTCAGCGTGGCTCGGTATGTCGCAGGCCAGAGCACAAATTTGTCATCCAGGTATATAACGTTCCGAAATCCAGTCGAGAGAATCCTTATCGCGTGCACAGTGCTGATAATCGGTCTCCTAGTGCGGTCGCACATCAGATGGAACATATTTTCCAGACATTTGATGAATCTGTCTGAGATTGCGCCATTTGAAAACAACTATTTCTTAACAAAGCAATCTTATGATGCGATCATTTGTAAATCGGTTTATATTTTGGCTAATACTATGCAATATTTAACCGATATGCTGTCAACACTAATTTTACTTCCATTAAATATCTTCTTAAATATCTCTGTGCTTGTTGCATTGATTTGTCGAATTTCTTGGATTACTCTCCATGCTATATCAAGACGTTTTCTATACTTATGTCAAACCTTGTTAATTCACTGTGATGTATATCTCATAAAACATTTTACAATAATAACGAACCTATTGGACAAAACATGGTTGCTTACGTTATGTGTGATCAACGCGTTGCAATATATCTTGACAATCGTATTTCTGATTATTGAATTTTCGGCAATATGCTTGTCGCGTTCATTACATGGCAGTAGATATGTACTAAATGGAACAATTTTTTATAATTAAAATACATAAATAATAACAAATGTTTAGTTCACAGCTACACTGGATATACTTGTGTAATCTACATTGTGTAAATTCCAAATAAACAATAAATCATTCATATCGTTCACCACACAATCTATACTACGGCTTTCTTATTGTCTACAGTTTAATGCTTTTCTCTATTCATTTTCAAGAAATGGGGATTCCGATATCAACAGATCAAAACTATTAAACGGATTCATCAATCAAGCAACATCCAACAAATATGAGGACTTTACAGAGTCCTTTTGGGGGTCTAGAAATAGTATTGAGAATCAAACAAGACAGCATTATCTCGCGCGAAACCGTTATATTGCCGAACAAAGCTTGAGATTACCTTATCCCAGCGTATACGGTACCCAAAGTATCAGTAAGTACTTAATAGATTCTTGCTTCAAGGTTGCGCAATTTTTCTTATTAACCCTTAAACATTACATGTGAGTCATTATGACTCTATTGATATTTTAACAATAGAATATCCCGAAGGCCTCTTAATCAATAAAAAATATGTTTAAAATTTATTTCTTAACTTTTGTTGTAACCAAGCACAAAACAAAAAAATATGTGATTCTATAAGAATTAATCTAATATCTTAATGCAATGATTTTCTTTCGATTCTCGACAAATGGGCAATTTTCGCTCGTTTCTGAGCAGTGATATTTTTGAAACAAAAACGCAAATGCTGTAAAAATAGATGTTAGGCAGCACACAATCAACTAATGTTAATACCAATTGTTTTTTTTTTATAGAGACTAACAATAAGCCCACGTTTCAACCGAATTTGTTTGGAAACGTTTTCAACGCGAAAGCGAGTGGCGGACCCTACGGCCGAACGGACTGGGCAGCGAAATACCTCAAATGATCATTGTAGAAAAATTAGTTTTTTTCTTTTCATATTGATAATTTGTCATCGTAGCCTTTCTTCTAGGCAAACTTTAACTGTGATAGAACGACCGTTGTCGTTCCATTATGGCAGGAACGCAGATAAACAAATTGTGTCTTCTTTTTCCTGTGTTGCGATTTTATAAAATCAAATCGTACTCGGATTAAATGGGGACGAAACAAGAAGGGAATTGAATAAAACTCCGGCGTCGTGTTATCGAGGATTTCAGCATTTTCATATATGTGATTGAAGTTTCGGAGCCAATTATATAGATTGCTATTATATAAACCGTCCATGTTAATTGATCATGTATGAAAAAGTTTAATTTTTTGAGAAACCAATAATTCTGAACGCTGTGCAAGATATATATATAGTTCTATAAGATACACATTATATTGTGTACATGTGTGTATGTTTACATGCATACACAAACACATGTATATAAGTGTACTTTTCATCATCTATATATATGTATAGTTTGTATATATTAATTAACTTTCCGATATGGCGTGATATGTACGACAGTTAATTAAAGCGCAATTCTCGGTAATCAAATCCGAGAATATGTAATACTTGGCGTCGCGACGCTACCGCGTCGCTTGATTATGGAGTTACATAAAACAAAAAAATGACAATTGCAAAGTATGTCAACCGGCATATTCATTTGGCTTAGGACTTAGAAAATCAACGTTAAAGTGTCACACCATATTTGATATAATGTACGCTAATATTATATTATTAGAATGAGAAATATAAAATATATATAACGAACAATACACGCGTATTTCTTATTATATATATGTATTTCAACATCTTTGTTTTTGCTGTTAGCTAGACTATGATTTATCCTCAAAGACGTCAATATA